CGCACATCACTCCCATACTTAAAAAACCCTCCCTGGATCCCACCAACCTGAACAACCTTAGAACCATCTCCCTGCTGCCATTTACATCCAAACTCCTAGAGCGCCTAGTCTATAATCGCCTGAGTTCCCACCTCACCGACAACAAGCTCCTTGATCCCCTACACTCCACCGAAACTGCCCTACTCAGACTCACCAACGACCTGCTCACCACCAAAGCTAATGGCCACTACTCAGTGCTCCTGCTCCTTGACCTCTCTGCGGCTTTTGACACGGTTCACCACCCCCTCTTCCTCAAAAAACTACACTCTCTTGGCCTCCGAGACTCCGCTCTCTCCTGGCTCTCTTCCTATCTATCACAGTGCTCCTTCAGTGTTACCTATAACGCTGCCACCTCCTCTTCACTCCCCCTCTCTGTTGGGGTCCCTCAAGGTTCTGTCCTCGGGCCCCTTCTCTTCTCCATCTACACCTCCTCCCTTGGCCAACTGATACACTCTCACGGCTTCAACTACCGTCTCTATGCCGACGGCACGCAAATCTGTCTCTCTACCCCCTCACCTCACTCCTTCAGTCTCCGCCCGTATCACAAGCGTACTGAGCGACATATCAGATTGGATGTCACTCCACTTCCTCAAACTAAATCTTTCCGAAACTGAGTTCCTAGTTTTCCCCCCAGACTGTGCCCCCCCCCCCCCGACTTCTCCATCAAGACCAACAACACCACCATCAGTCCCTCCCATCAAGCCATAATACTAGGTGTCATCCTAGACTCCAATCTGTCCTTCCAGCCCCAGGTCCATTCGCTGACAAACTCGTGTAGATTTCACCTCTGCAACATCTCCAAAATACGTCCGTTCCTAACCCCGGACACCACTAAGCAACTCATTCACTCCCTCATTATATCACGCCTTGACTACTGTAACTCCCTCCTCATCGGCTTACCCCACCACAGGCTATCCCCGCTTCAGTCTATCTTGAACGCTGCGGCCAGACTCATCCAACTTACTAACCACTTTGTATCCGCCACCCTTCTCTGCCAATCCCTCCACTGGCTCCCGATTGCCCAACGGATAAAATTCAAAATGCTAACATCAACTTATAAAGCTGTTCATAATACTGCCCCAAACTACATCACCAATCTGGTATCAAAATACCACCCAAAACGTACTCTCCGCTCCTCACAAGACCTCCTACTCTCTAGTTCCCTGGTCTCTTTTTCCCCATGCCTGTCTCCAGGACTTCCCAGGGCTTCCCCCATCCTCTGGATCTCCCTACCCCAATCCATCAGACTATCACCTACTCTGCTTGATTTTAGGCGCACTCTGAAAACCTATCTCTTCAGGGAAGCCTACCCCGCCCTCAGCTATTTACTGAACTCCTCCACTCCTCCTACCACTCCATCCCCCACAGCTATTTCCTCCTGTACCACTATCCCCTCCCTCCTAGATTGTAAGCTCCAAGGAGCAGGGCCCTCGAACCCCTCATGTATTGAATTGTATTGTTACTGTACTGTCTCGTGTACTGTCTCCCATTATAATGTACAGCGCTGAGCAAACTGTTGGCGCTATATAAATCCTGTATAATAATAATAGATTACACTTTAAGGCAGGCCATAGATTATGCATTTTTGTTTCCTTCCACCATGGATGGAAGCAAAGAAACTGGCTCAATTCCCCCATCAACTCAGTGTGGATGGGAGAATCCCTCCCACAGCTCTTCTTTGTTCTGCCAGTGGGAAGCCTTCGCTGCTGATCGAAAAAGTAACTTGTGTTCAACCATGCATGGATCAAAATTAAGCTGGTCCCTGTGGAACCGGACAAATTTTGATCCATGTATGGCCAACTTTAGTGTGAAGGCATTTAAAAATGCATTTTTTGTTTTTTGCCACCTATTGTTTCTCCATCATGATGGATGATGGGGAACTTCAACTTCCATCACTTTAGAGTGACCGGGATCCAAAATATGATTGAAAGGGGTTGATTGAAAACAAGCAATCTACAACCTATGGGTCTGATCGATTGTACTGGGCTATAAATTGACAGCATATATACTCACTGGCCTCTTTATTAGGTAAACCTGTTCAATTGCTTAGTAACACAAAACATCCAATCACATGGCAGCAGCTCAATGCATTTAGGCATCTAGACGTGGTAAAGACAGCTTGCTGTTCAAACTGAGCATCAGGACAGGGAAGAAAGGGGATTTAGGTGAGTTTGAACATGGCATGGTTGTTGGTGCCAGACAGGCTGGTCGGAGCATTTCAGAAAATGCTGATATACTGGGGTTTTCATGCACAACTATCTCTAGGGTTTATAGAGAATGGTCCAAAAAAGAGAAAATATCTAGTGAGTGGCAGTTGAGTGGAAAAAAAATGCCTTGTTGATGTCAGAGGTCAGAGAAGAATAGGCAGACTGGTTCGAGATGATAGGCAACAGTAACTCAAATAACAACTTGGTACCACCAAGGTATGCAGAATACATCTCTGAATGCTCAGCACATCGAGCCTTGAAGCAGATGGGCTACAGCAGCAGAAGACCACACCGGTTGCCACTACTGTCAGCTAAGAACAGGAAAAGGAGGCTACAATTTGCACAGGCTCACCAAAATTGAACAATAGAAGATTGGAAAAAACTTTGGCTGGTCTGATGAGTCTTGATTTCATCTGCGACATTCAGATGGTACAGTCAGAATTTGGCGTAAACAACATGAAAGCAATTAATCCATCTTGCCTTGTATCAATGGTTCAGGCTGGTGGTGGTGTAATGGTGTGGGGGATATTTTCTTGGCACACTTTGAGCCCCTTAATACCAACTAATCAATCACCACGGCATTAGCTGAGTATCGTTGCTGACCATGTCCATCCCTTTATGTCTACAGTGTACCCATCTTCTGATGGTTATTTCCAGTAGGATAATGAACCATCTTTCAGGCTCAAATATCTCAAACTGGTTTCTTGAACATAACAATGAGTTCACTGTACTCCAATGGTCTCCAGTCACCAGATCTCAAGCCAATAGAGCACCTTTGAGATGTGATGGAATGGGAGCTTTGCATCATGGATGTGCAGCCAACAAATCTGCAGCAACTGTGTGATGCTATCATGTCAAATCTCTGAGGAATGTTTCCAACACCTTGTTGAATTTATGGTATGAAGAATTAAGGCAGTTCTGAAGGCAAAGGGGGTCAAACCCATTACTAGCAAGGTGTAACTAATATAGTGGCTGGTGAGTGTATACAGGTTACTGAAAAAAATGCTCAAAAATGGAAAGAAAGATGACAATCTTGTCAAAATAGCACTAGGTCAAGACATTTTCAGTACCATACCCCTGCAGGTGATCTAAACCACTAAAAGTTTCAGGATTTAAATTCTAGCCTAACTGAAATTGGTTAAAATTTCCAAAAGGTTGCCATGTGTAGTCAGCTTCGGGGATTTCTGAAATGCTTGAGCCTTTTGCATGCTTGATCTATCCGGATGCTGATTTTTACTACCAGGTCAGTGTCTATCTCTGCTAAGAGCTTGTTGAGAATCAGTGTTATACCAATAACCTGGTTAAAGTTTACATCCTGAGATGTAAAGCCTATCGATAAAATCTCCTATAATCTTTAACACAATGTAATATCAATATTTTCTTAAAATCTATAGCTTTTATGAAAATTATTCCTGGTTATTCTGCCATGATTATTTTGTTCAGACAGTTCCTATTTGGGTGCCAACGCTTTGTCCCTGTCTCCTAATGATTCCGTTGCATTGTCACCTTGTGCAATGGACTGTACTTCCAGTGGAGAAAGTATGTGGCTTTGCTGGTGCTCAGTGCATAGGCATGTTCTACTGTGATCACAGAACCCATTCCCATTCCCAGCAATAATATGCAGCCGCTGCTGGAGTGACTGCATGCGAACAGGAAGTGGCTCCAAACTTTGGCATTCCATTTTGCTTCTACTTCCTGACACATCATCACTTCCATGTTCCATATATCCTCACATATCACTGATTTACTAACAGACATATCAGACTGGATGTCACACCACTTCCTAAAACTCAATCTATCCAAAACTGAGCGTATTTCCTCCCCTACATGCCTCTTCCCCTGATTTCTCCGTCAGGATCAATAGCACCACTTTCAACCCATCCCTGCATGCCAGGGTGCTAGGGTGGTAACCCTGGGTCTGAACTATCCTTTTAGGCCCACATCCAATCCCTGTCCAAATCATGCCGCCTCAACCTCCGCAACGTCTCCAGAATATGCCCCTTTTTAACCAATGGTACCACAAAGCTCCTAATTCACCCCTGGTTATCTCTCACCTCAACTACTCAAACTCACTCCTCATTGACTTACCTTTGCATAGGCTATCCCCACTCCAGTCCATCATGAATACTGCTGCCAGGCTCATCCACCTTACTAACTGCTCAGTTTCTGCTCCCCATCTCTGCCAATCCTTCCACTGGCATCCGCTCGACCAATGAATAAAATTCAAAATACTAACAACAACTTACAAAGCCATCCACAACTCTGCCCCCAGCTACATCACCAACCTGGTTTCAAAATATCAACCAAACCGCTCTCTTCGATCTTCCCAAGACCTTCTCCCTAGTTCCTGTGTCACCTCCTCCCATGCTTGCCTCCAGGACTTCTCCCGAGCTTCTTTCATCGCATGGAACTCCCAACCCCAATCTGTTCTCCTAATCTATCCACGTTTAGATGATCCCTGAAAACCTTTCTCTTTAACCAGTTGCCGACCGCAGATAGCCGAATGATGGCTAAACTGCGGCCGGCCAGTTTTGGGAGGGCGTCATCACATCGGGCTTTTACCACGTGATCAGCCATGTCCAATGACACGCTGATCACAGGAAAATGCAATTGCAGGTTCTCGGCTGCACTTTCCTCACGCTGTCAGATCGTGAGGAAAGTACTGCTGAGAACCGGCAGTTGTCAGAGCAGGGATCGGCACTGATGATCAGTGCCCTGATGATCGGTACCCAGCAGTGCCACCCACCAGTTCCACCCACCTGTGCCCAGCAGTGCAACCACCTGTGCCACCCAGCAGTGCCACACACCTGTGCCCAGCATTGCCATCCAGAAGTGCCACCCACCTGTGCCCACCCACCTGTGCCCACCAGTGCCACCCACCTGTGCCCACCAGTGCCACCCACCAGTGCCCAGCAGTGCTGCCAGTAAGTGCCACCAGTCAGTGCACAGCAGTTGCAACAGTCAATGCCTATCAGTGCCGCCAGTCAATACCTAGCAGTGCCGCCAGTCAGTGCCCAGCAGTGATGCCAGTCAGTGCCACCTATCAGTGCTGTCTATCAGTACCCATCATCAGTGCCGCGTATCAGTGCTACCTATCCGTGCCACCTCATTAGTGCTGCCTATCAGTGCCTATCAGTGCTGCCTCATCAACACACATCAGTGAAGGAGAAAAATTACCTGTTTGCAAAATTTTATAATAGAAACAAAGAAACCTTTTTTTTTTTCTAATTTTTTGCAATTTTTTTGTTTATGGCGCAAAAAGTAAAACACCCAGTGATGAGTAAATACCACCAAAAGAAAGCTCTATTTGTGAGAAAAAAAATTATAAAAATGTCATATGGGTACAATCTTGCATGACCGCGCAATTGTCAATCAAAGTGCAACAGCGCTGAAAGCTGAAAATTGGCCTGGTAAAGAAGGGGGTATAAGTGCCTGGCAGGCAAGTGGTTAAAGAAGCCTATCCTGCTTTAAACTAGTAGATTGCCTTTTATTTACTCCGTCAGCTCATCCCCCCACAGCTTATACCTTTTGTATCACTCAACCCTTCCTCCTAGATTATAAGCTCTAATGAGCAGGGCCCTCTGTTTCCTCTTGTACCAAATTGTATTGTAACTGTAATGTCTACCTTCATTTTGTAAAGCGCTGCGCAAACTGTTGGCGCTATATAAATCCTGTATAATAATTATAATTTGTGCTAGTTGCACTCCCATTGGCCATCCATGACAAGATATATATTTATGTATGAAGAACAGGGTCTCTTGTTGGATCCCTTTTTATACTGGCTTCTCATATCAGTTAGTTTGGGACCAGAATCATTCTTAGCTTTTATTCCTCCAAACAAATCAATGTGAATGAATCGTAAATGCAGCTCTAACTAGTCCTATCAGCTTTTGAGCACAGACATTTGTTCGTATTAAAAGTATCAACATTGCTTTTCTATCCATAGTTAATGACAATGCAAAATCAGATAAAAAATATTCAGAAAAACTCATAATTCAAAAATGCAAGCTGAATGAATTTGTAAGCATGCTGCCTTTTCCCATCCACTCTGATTTACATATACATTAGAGCTGGTGTACACAGGGTTTTGAGATCAGTTTAGGCTTCTGTTGGCTGGCTTTGTATTTTGCATTTGCAGTGTGATAAATTCTGCAGAGTTCCCTTTGCTTTGATTGTAGCACGAATGATGATTCTGCATGTGTTTGACCTACTTTGTGTTCCTTTGGGATCAGTGGATCCTTTGGAGATTCTTATCTATTGCTCCAAAAGCCCTTTAATCACAAAGAACAGCAAATCAGACACAGCTCCTACATTTATACTTGGAATGGCAAATTAAAAAGGTACTCAAATGCTTGTACCTTATTTGTAAAATGATCCCAAAAGTATTAATCTAAATGTATTGTTTTGAAACAAAGTGTATGTATTGAAATCATAGAGTTAAGCTTTGATTTTGTTCCTTCATACAAGTCAGTGTGCATGCATAGTAATTACACTGCAACTAATTGGCACATCATATATCCCTAGTGCAAATTTGTGAAGCCAAACACCATTTTTGTGAGGGTCTTTATCCTGTTTAGGCATAGTACTGTCACACACAGGTGGGCTGAGGTCATAAAGGGCACATTCCATACCTGTGCTGCTACCACAGTTCTTGGAAGCAGGATAGCTAATAGTATAGCAGGGTTTCAGAAACTGTTTCTGTTTACCCCTTCCTTTACCCCCACTGTAAATTATTGTTATCCTACTTTGAGTAGTTACAAATCAGGTTTTCTGGTACCAAAAAGCTTTATTGAAAGAATGTTGGAACATACAGTGTGTAAATGTTAGATGTAGCACAAGAGGTTGTGTCTTAGAAATATTAACCCAAATAATCACAAGTAAGTCTAAGGCAAAAACATTGCATAGGTCGTGCAACCTAACCCCCAGCATTGCAACTGTGCTTAGGTGAACAGTGATATGGCAGCGACCTCCCATGAGTCCCACCACTCACCACAGGTGGAGAGGAGCACTCATAATGTCTATGTAACATTAAGAGGAAAAATAAAAGGAAAAAAAGGGGGGGGAGAAGAGAGATAGAAGGGGGAATATGATAAAAAGGGGAAAGGGATCAGGAATCAGGGATTTGTTCTCCACAGGGAGTAGGCGGCTATGATTCTGCCCCTGTAAACCCAGGAGGAAGCAGTAACGGAGGACTAGATCAGAGTTGGAGCAGTCTTGTGAAATGGGGGACTGGCCAATAGTTGAGCCAGGAAATTGAGAGAAATTTATCATGTTTTTCCTCACTTCAAGCACTGCCATTCATTTTTTGTTAATGAAGAATCCCTGAATTCTGGACCTAACTTTCTCAAAGTTTAGAGACTGTGCCTTCCACGCATAGGCTATAGTCTGCTTCGTTGCCATAAAGAAGAATGAAATGAGAGTGTGGGACAGTCATGGTACATCCTTAAGTGGTCTATGGAGGAGGGCTTCATCCAGGATTTTTCGAGATATTAAATTGTGTGACTGAGTGGATCATGTTGTATACTTTAGACCATAGGCAGTGAGCTACTGGGCAGGACCACAAAATATGGAACATAGTCCCTTCAGCCTTGCAGTCCCTGAAAGAGAGTGGGCTAGGGATGTATATCGCTAATACCATAAATCCTTTAAAGTTTCTATATTCTGGGAGCATTTCAAAATATTTTGCCAGTCAGCTATAGTCAAGGACTCTTGCAGGTCTCGTGCCCAAGCAGTGCAATATTAGGGCAAGTGTTCAAAAGCATGGCCTCGAGTGGAGTTATAGATCAAGGACTGTGTATCCTTCATTGTAGTCGTTGACTTGTAGATTGATTCAAAACTTGTAAGAGATTTTGGCAAAGCGAGGTTTTGGATAAGGGGTGTAAGGAAATGGCACAGGGAGGGATATGGTGCTTTTCCCTAAACTGTGCAAAAGTGCAGAGGCCTTTCACAGTCAACATGGAGTGAAGTGTCACAAAGCCATGAGAAATCCACCATGAGAAAGCAGGTTTATCCGTTATCTCTGAAGGGAACAAAGGACAGTCAAACAGTTGTAATAATGGTAAATGAGGAGTCAGCAAGCCCGCTGAATATTTACACATGTCCCAAACTCTCAAAGTGTGGGTTAAAACCGGATTAAAGAGTTTGGGTCGTGAAGCCGGTGGGAGCCAGGGAAGAGAGGAGAGGGGGGGTTGGATGAGTATCCATAGCATCTATCATAGCCCAGAGGGGTGAATCCTTACCTGAGAAATATTGGGTCGGGTTGTTATTTGAGCTGCAAGATAGTAATGTTGAATGCATGGGTCCCCAAGGCCCCCACAAATTTTGGGAGGTAAAGTAGGTGGTGGGCTAAGCATGGACGCATCGAGGCCCTAATGAAACTCTGGATATATCATTGTATGATACGTAGTATGTGGGGGGCTATTCGAATGGGAAGGGTACGGAAGGAGTAAAGCAATTTTGGCAGATAAGTCATCTTGATAGCGTGTGCCCAGCCACAAATCAAGTTTTCTGCCTAGGTAACTGCCACACAGTTAGTAGTTGCATATTTGTTTACCATTGTTCAGTGGATTTGCTGAATCCATATAAGATGACACTGTTTTATTCTGTCTATAGTTATTTTACCCTTGTGGGCATTTGTTTTTTGTTTCCCACATTTAAGATGGTGGTTATGGTGGTTATAATATCTATTTCTGGTTCCGGAGCTATTGGAGCATTTCTTTATTTTGTACATGGGATTTATTGTGTCTCCCACATATGGGAGAGGAACTGATGGGATGATACCTATCTGGTGGCGATCGGCTGGCGATTGGTGGATTGATATACAAAAGTTGTTTTTGACTTCTCTTATGATCACAGTATTATCTGGTAAGCCCCTGAGTGGTTGGTGAAACACATGTGGTGGTTTATATTCTGACTACATTGAATTGGTGAAGAGGATTGCTTCTCTATCTGTCACTTTTATGCACTTGGTGGAAGTCATTCACAGAAATTTGGACTTTTATTTATTTTTTTTCATTTATGTCACTTGCGCATCTTTTATTTATGCTATTTCATGTATTCCAATGTTTAGCGCTGCACAAGTTAGTTTTACAATTTGGTTGATATAGTGTATCCTATATATGGTGCTGGCTGCTGATTTATAGAAAAGACACTTTTTGCACAGATTTATTTTATAAATACAGAAACCTAAATGCCTACTACTCCTTAGATACCCCCACACAAGCCAGGGATAAAAGAATACTTTTAGGGTTGTTTTTGTAGTTTAAAGTGGTTGTAAACCTCAGTCATGAAAACTGAAACAGAGCACATATATCTGTAGTGTTTACTTGTCTATCTTCAAAGCTCTAAGTGTCATTTCTCTCTGGTGCCTTGTTCCTCTGTTATCAACATATGTCACTTCTGAGAAGTTTTCCTGATACATGAGATAAATTTGTGATGGGGAGAGAGCTCAGTACACAGCTTATCTACCCACAACACAGCTCTGAATGTTCATTCCTTCCTGTGTGTGGAGAGGGTGTCCCTTTCCTCCAATTATCTCTCACACAATGTACACGTTCTCTACCAGTAGCTCTCCACCCCCTCCTCTGTGCGTCTGGCAAACTAAGAAGGATTTTGTCACAATTCAGTCCTTTTGAATGGATGTAGTGAAGCGAAGATTGCAGATAAACAAGTAAAAGTATGAATGGAGGATTTATTTAATCTCTGTGTATCTTTTTAATAGTACATTTTTATTAAAATATCTGAGTTCACTGTTAGATACACTGTATTGCCAAAATAAAATATTATATATTGGGACGCCTGCCTTTACAAGCATATGAACTTTATCCCAGTCTTAGTCGGTAGGTTTCAATATTGAGTTGGCCCACCCTTTGCAGCTATAACAACTTCAACTCTTCTGGGAAGGCTGTACACAAGGTTTTAGGAGTGTGTCTATGGAAATGTTTGACCATTCTTCCAGAAGCGCATTTGTGAGGTCAGGCACTGATGTCAGACAAGAAGGCCTGGCTCGCAGTCTCCGCTCAATTCAACCAAAAGGTGTTCTATGGGGTTGAGGTCAGGACTCTGTGGCCAGTTAAGTTCCTCCACCTCAAACTCTCTCATCCATGTCTTCATGGACTTTGCTTTGTGCACTGGTGCACAGTCATGTTGGAACGGAAAGGGGCCAACCCCAAATTTTGGATTCAA